GCAGGCCTCTCACTGTTGTGGCCTCTCTCGTTGCGGAGCACAGGCTCCGGAAGCGCAGGCACAGCAGTCATGGCTCACGGGCCCAGCCGCTCCGCAGCATGTGGGATCTTCCCGGACCGGGGCACGAACTCGTGTCCCCTGCATCGGCAGGCGGACTCTCAACCACTGTACCACCAGAGAAGCCCTCAAGGTTCTTTTCTTCATCTCTTCTTATGATATATATTCTATATAGGTTACTTCATCTATCTGTATTTTCAGTTTCTACCTGTTAAATTATGATGACCATATTAATATTGCCAGATCACCTTGCACCTTAAACCAAACAAGTATAAATTGAATTCATTCCTGATATATCCCTTACCACCCACCACAATCTGTTCCTGGATTTTGTTCCTAATCTAATCTAAAGGTACTACTATCTGCCCAGTAAGCCAAGCCACACAGCTGAATGTCAGAGGTAAAGTGATTAATATAATGTATTATCCAAACTGAGACTGTTTTGAGAGTAAAAGAGAGCTCTAGTAATAACTACTCCAAGAGAGTAAGTGTAAATCAGGACCACCCATGGCAAACTAGTATATATAGTCACCCTAGACTTAGGGTAACTCTTTTTCCTTTATATTCCACATCCATTTAGTCAAAGCCTTGTCTATTCTACTGCTTTACTGTCTTCAACTTGATCTTTGTGGGCATTGCTATAACTTTATGCCCTTCTTTCCCCTCAGGTAGATAACACCAGTAGATGAAGTGGTCTCTTTGACACTTCTCTACTCTACTTTCCTTCATTCCAATTTGGCAGGGTGATATTTTTGAAATTCATGTTTGTTCAGGTCACACTTTTAAGTCCTTCAGTGATTCCTTGTTACATTCATAGTAAAATGCCAAGTTCTTTGTGTGGCATACAAGACCAGTTGATAATACTACAGTGGCAAGAAAGAGACCCAATCTTAACATCTCTCCAAACACAAGCTGTGCTCTACAATAATGAAAATCGTCTTCTCTCACCTTTTTGCTTTGGCTTAGGCTGTTCTTCCACTATTTTAATACCTCTTCCTCCTTCCTACACTGCCTGGCTAATTCCTGTTTCTCCAGGAAAACTACTCAAGTGTCACCTCTTCTAGGAAGCTACAAAAGTCCCATGCTGCATTCTTTTTTCATGTATTTATTATCCTTTTATAATTAGCAGTTTATCTTTCTTTTGTTTTTTAATTTATCTCTAAAGACTTATTTAAATGTTTGCTGAATAAATTAGTCTGTTCTCACATAATTTTCCCTTCTCCAGTGGCACATGTATTAAATGTACTTTAGAAGTCATCTCCTCCCTTCATGTTTTCAGTTGGTTGACTGAGACTGAGGCACAGTATATGGCCATGGACAAAGGACAGGTAATGAGAACAAGTAGGGAAGCAAACTTCTGACTTCTTAGTCCTCCACTAAAAACCTGACTAACCAGCCATAGATGTGGTAATTACCTGATGCCAAATGTAAATTTCTTTTGAAGTTAGCCTACATTAAACCAATTAAAAATGTGAAATACATACTGCATGCTTTTAAACATGGGAAAATAGACCAAATATGGGAAAAAAGAAAAAACATGGTCTCTGTCTTTCTGAACCATATAGTAGAAACCTACAGCAATTGTTTTTACTCAGTGCTACAGTTCACTCTTAGAAGTTTTAATACTTCACAAAATTCTTATCCTAGCTTTTAAAATGAAAGAGAATTCTCTTCATTTTGAGTCAGTAAATATTTGTTAAGGGCTAACCATGAACTATATATACTTTTTTCCCTAATTCTTTTAATGTGGGTATAAATCATCCATCACTAAAATTTTATAGAAAAACTATTAAAAATAAAAATAATGGAGTAGAAAAATGGTTAGATAAGATTTTATTCTTACTCATTAAAAAGAATACATAAACTATTTGAATATTCTGAACACTGGTGAGTGTATGTGGTTTGAAGTAAATAATTAGAGGACTGTTCTTTCTCTTTGATAATTCTAACACATGTATGGTCTAGAGTAGAGATTCTTAACTTTTTTGGGTCACATTCTCCTGAGAATTTGAAAGCATACAATTTCTGTTTCATAGTCTCTTTTAAAACCCATGTGAAAATGGTTTCTTGTGCTTACAGAATAAACATTCCTTGGCTTAATGTCATCTTGGCTTAATATCTAATACTTGCTTTGTATGAGCCCTTGTTCCTGAGGTAGTCAGGCTAATGGGAAAACAAACATTATGTAAACAACTTTAAGACAATATGTTGTGCTATAGTAAAAGTATTTTCAATAAAATTCTATATATGTACATAGGCAACAGGTTAATTATTGCTAATGAGAAGGGCTTCACTAAGGAGTTATCATTTGAGCTGAACCTTCAAGACTGAGGTAGGTGACAAGGAACCATCAAGGCTTTAGCCTCAGCAACAAAGAACCTTTCCCTCCTCTGCATTTCCTGAGTACTTTGATTGTACCTTTGATAGTAATTTCTGCCCTACATTGTAGTTGTTTATGCATATCTTTTTTTTTTCCTTACCATCTCTTAGAAGATTGAACTTTTTCAAGGCATTGGACATGTCTTGTTCAATTTCATATATGCATACAGGTCCTGTGTCCTGTACATATTAGCCACTTATTAAATGTTTGTAGAGTTATATCCAATTGAACATGAATCCATTCCTCTGTTGCTTAAGTGTTACTGTAGGTAAACAACTTTTAAATTGCCTAATGGAATAACTAGGAAGCAGATAGACTAAGCTTTGAAAAGAAGGGCTCTCTTAACCTAGTAGAATAATGTAAAATTTCAAATCACGAATATTTCTATTTTTTTCCATATATTTATTAAAAGTTGAAGTAAAAAAAATGACATCACATCATGACTTTAATAAGTAAAGCTGTTTCATGACCATATATAGGCTTTACTCTGTTACCAATGCCTCAGACAGTGATCCTGCAATGAAGCATTAACTATCCACCTAAATGGGCATCTCAAGTAAACCACATCTAGTATACATTGATTTTTTCCCCTAATTAACCACAAAATTAGATGCTTAAACATATCACTGGACAGAATGGCTTTTAGTAATGTTTTTTACTTTGATTTTTAAAAACTAACTTCAAAAGACACTATTGAGGTACAGTGGTGATTTTAAAAGTAAATTGTGTTGAACATTATACCTGCTACATCAAACCATCTTTGTTGCTTTGGAAAAGAACTATTGAGACAAAAACAGTCCTAATATTAAATATTTTCAAAACGATTTTCCCCAATACAGAGATTTTGTTTATTATTATTTTCCAACTTGTATGTTTTTATCATTTTATAAGTATCATCAGATTTACTAATATGACACTCTAAACTTTCCTACACATTGGAGAAAAGGTAATTCTATCTCCCAACAGGAAATGTGTTAGAAAATCTAAATGTAATGATGCAAAGCTACCCTGATGGTACTTTTCGTTTATTTTCAATTTAATAGGAGATAAAAACAGGTTAATTTTAGTTGACTTAGAGTGGTTTTCAGCAAATAATATTTGCATGTAAGCCCCTGGAAGTTTTGTTTTACTCTGAAGAAACTGGCCAGTCTTTCACAATATGAAATCTTAAAACTTGAGCTGTCAAGTTAATCACGCTCTCTGTCACAGTCTGCAAATGTCTTAATGCTAACTGGCAAATACTAATTTTGTATTTGATATTTATTATATACCCCCTTGCTTGTTTTCCAGGGGATGTATGTATTTTTGCATGCAGTAAAAGGAACACCATTTGAAACTCCTGACCAGGGTAAAGCGAGGCTCCTAACTCATTGGGAACAACTGGACTATGGAGTACAGTTTACATCTTCACGGAAGTTTTTCACAATTTCTCCAATAATTCTGTAAGTGGTGGAAATTTTCAGGTATGAGGAGGATTGGATGAGAGGAAGCCATCCTTTTATTAGATTAAATTTGAAATAGAAACAGAATATTTTGTTGAAAACCTATATCAGTAAATTGCTACTTCATAGAGAGTATAAAATACAGGCAAAATTTTTAACAAGCTGGTAATAAACCAGTTTTCACTTCAGTCAAATATATATGGAGACAACCTTACATGTTTATCAGTATGACAAGACATTCTAGAATACAAGTTAAATATATTCTAGTTCATGTCTTTAAGCTGCTTGCGAGAATACTAAACACATAGTCTTGTTCTGTATTCTACTATCAGATTAATCTCCGTAAACAAGGATTTGGATGATTTCAGATGAATTTCATTGACCACCTGCCACATTTGGATGTTCAGACTCCTTGGGAGAGACAGTATGGTTTAGAGAAAAGAGAGGTTAGCCTTTCATTGTAGGACAGACCCGGGTTGAATCCTGTACCTATCACTCAGCCTGCTTGGTTTGCTCATAAATAAAATTCTAGCCAATGGTACCTAACTCAATCTGATGCTGTAAGAAATAAATGAGATAATACCTATCTGTAAAGCATCTAACCATATATATGGCATGTAATTTCCTCCTATTACCTGATATTCAGGGTCCTCCACAAAATGGTTCCTACCTCATTTTTCCTTTATGTGACTATTTTACCTTCACCCAACTCCTACCTGGTCACACTCTTCTAAGCAGCATTTCTTAAATACTTCATGTATAGTCCTATTTCTATGCCTTTGTTCAAGTCATTTCTCCCACCTGAAATGCCTTCTCCTTTCTTAATTTATCTGTCTTATTTTTCTTTCAAGATTTAAATTGTGACCTTACCAGTGAGGTCTTTTCCTTAGCAACCAGCCTTCAATGATAATGCTCTGTTTTGAAATCCATAGCAGTTGTTATATATCCCTTATTTATTGCCACTTTGTATTATTTCTCTATTATTATGTTGATTTCTGCAAAGAATTTATAAGTACATAGATTGCTTTGAATTCCACGCTCAGTTGCTTTCATATAATGGATGTTTCACATATATCCTAATCAAACACTCGATACCACAAAGGAGATACATATATATAGATATATATCTCTATATATATAGATATAGATATAGATATAGATTTATATATCCATTATAGAATCAGTGCAGTCTGCAGCAGCTGGAAAGACTTCTTGGAGGCATTAGAATTCCTTAAACTAGGACTTAGGTTAGGTTTTAGACAGGTGTTTAAGTTAGGGAAGACATTTTCAAATGAAAAGAATAAAGTAATCATAAAGTGGTAGATTTCTTTTTCCTTATATTTATAGCACTTGGGAGGAAATTTTTTAAGTTTTTAATTGTTTTAGTCCCACATAAAATTCATGTCAAAAGAAAAATTATTTTTATGGCCTAACAAAGATTAATGCAATAACAAGAATAATGGTTATTCAAACAGCCCTAAATTTGTATTTTAGCCCTACTACTCTCTAGCTATGTGACTTTTGGCCATATTATTTAAAGTCTCAGTTTCCTCATCTATAAAATGTTGAGGATTGCATTATAATACAGTTAACCCTTGAACAATGTGGGGGTTATAGGCACCCGCCCTCTGTGCAGTTAAAAATCCAAGTATAACTTACATAGTCAGCCTTCTGTATCCCCATTTCCACATCCTCGGATTCAACTAACGGTGGATTGTGTAGTAACTGTGGATCATGTAGTACTGTGGTATTTACTATTGAAAAATATCCATCTGTAAGTGGACCTGTGCAGTTCAAACCCTCATTGTTCAAGGGTCAACTGCACATGTAAAAAGCCTGACATATGCTGAATTTTCAATAGGAGCTATCACAAAAAAGATGATATCACTTAAAAGCCTAACTAAGATGTACCTGTGTACAACACCCATATTTCTTAAAGTGTACTTTTGACCAACAGGTATGATTTTAAATATTGTGTGATTAAATTCCTTATATAACTGAGGAAACAGCATTAAAGCCATCTGTATAACATTGATATTTTTCAGAGTGCATTTACATTTTCTTATTTGATCATTTGTCAGGTAGGTAGGATGAGTAATATTATCCCAGATTTTTAGATAAACAGATTCAAATGCATCATCTTCATCCAGATCTTGTAGCTAGTTGGAATCAACAGCCCAGGTTAAACCCTGAACTTCTAACTTCTAATACAGGTCTCTTTCTAGTATTCCCTTTGGCAGATAAATGCTACCACACTGATTCCTACCTGGGTTTTGCATCCCCTTGGAGGGTTGTGTAGGTTTTTGTAAGAGTCAAGTAATTTTCATATGATCCACACACACAATCAGTTTTTATTAAAAGACATAAGAGAGACATATGCTATGAGGAGGAGAAGCCATTCCAAGAAGATTTATTATTTCTCACATATCAGATTACAGATTAAACCTGTAATGATGATGGGAAATTAAATGAGCTTACTGAATGTAAATGGTATCCTATATTGTTCAGTTAAGGAAGTATGAACAGTCTTCAAGTATATGAAAGCAGGAAGACAGGATTTAAAGTAGAATTGAGGAATATGGTTTATTCTCAAGAATGAATTCTGACTATAGTTTGTGAAATAGGCGGAAGAGTATAGAATTTCTCAATGTAGATGGTTCTGAAAATAATGTTTACAGCTCTCTGATGTTTTTAGTTGTACTTGGAAAAGAGCTGTTCTTTTCTAACCATATTACACAAGATATTTATCACTCCTTTAGAGGAAACACTATTAAAATACTTTTCTGTGTACTCTAAAAGTACTAATTAGACAAACACCCTTGTGCATAGTAACTTCTTAGTTATCGTCAAGTAAGGTATGATGTTTTAGGATACTCTTTTAGTGGCCTCATGATGTGTCTTCATTTTGATGTACCCTTGGGTCAAACTAGGCATTCTGACTCGATGATCTGTGGTCTTAAAGATGGCTTAGGCTTCTTAAAACAAATTCTCGGATATTGGATGTCTTTGAATATATATATACATATGTTCGGTTATAGCAAAACAGCTGGAATTTTACAATAGTGTCTCTCAAGTTTCCCGTTATACTGGTTATATACCTGTTAACTTCAATATGGAAATGAGAACATCAAAAGGGCAGTCAAGTATTTGTTTTCTTTCAAAGATGCTAAACTCAACTAATGCACTAACACCCGTTTTTCACAACTTTACAGCAGTAGTTTTTAACCTTTTGGTGGGTCACAGAACCGTTTGAGAATAATGATGGATGCTTTGAATCTGGACTTCCTCTTCAGATATATACACATAGATACAAAACTACACCTGAAGTTTCAGGAAGCACATGATCCCTAGTTTGAAAGCCTTCTGCTTTAAAGACTATAGTAACTGTCTTGCATTAAATACATTTAACACGATTGCAGAAAAGTAAAATGTGCATATATGCCTCCATTAAACAAATGTTTAAATCCCAAATAAAATTAATTTAGGCCCCCAAACTAAAACTTTTGCTCTTGTTTTAGTGCTCAAAGAAATGGTTCTGCTTTTAGGTATTTATGTTTCAGTGGCCTTTTTCCTACCTTTAAATATTTAAAAAATTCTAAGTAATTTCACTTTTAGATGTTATATATATATTCTTAACTTTTATTTCTACAGATATTTTCTGGCAAGTTTCTATACGAAGTATGATCCAACTCACTTCATCTTAAACACAGCTTCTCTCCTGAGTGTGCTAATTCCCAAAATGCCACAGCTACATGGTGTTCGGATCTTTGGAATTAATAAGTATTGAAATGTGTTTTGAAACAACAAAAATTTTTACAGCTACTGAGTTTTCTGTAAGGAAGGAATGGTTACTAAACTGCACTGTTTCTGTGAAAATGTGAAATGAGAGGTAGCTACATTGGAGAGCCAATTGCTGGTTCTTCATATGCTGTTTTGAAGTGCAGATTCTTATGAGAAGATGCCTTTGTTTAATGCATCTGGTATCCTTCTGTAGAGAGGCTTCAGAGGCAGGCTGGGCAGGCCCAGCTTATAAGTTAAATGGCTATAAAGTAAAGGTAGTAGATAAATCCAAGGAAATAAGAGATTTATAAGAAACTAAGTCCAGCTTAGCTTATAATGAATGGGCATTATATTAAGAGAAGAAAATGTTTAATCATTCAGTCATGGTCAGTTTAAGCAGAGTTACATGTAAACCAGAATCATTTCTTTACAAGTTTATTACAGATTGTTTTTATTACCATGCATATTCCTTTTGTGTTATATAAGAGGATATATATCCTCTTGTTTTATACAAACGAATTCCTACCTTATGAATGTACTTTTTGGGTTTTGCAGGCTCAACATTGTGTTGATAGATGAGTTCATTTTTACATTTATTAAGTTACTGAGTTCATGAAGGTCCACCTTCACGACTGATTGATGATAGAAGATAGTTAGGCACCTTAGAAGCAGCCTCTGAGTCGGCCTTCTAATTTTGGAACAAAGTGGGTTTTGCTGCCTTTCCAGATACAAGGCTGCTAACCTAATTAAGAAAATAATTTATTTCTCGTAATTAAAGTATATGGTAACTTAAAGGTCTGCTGATTTGGTTGAGCAATCTAATTGTTGAAGTCTGCCATTCTTTAGCGATGGAAATTTAAAATGGACAACTACATAGCCAACCTGTGATCTGGCAGAAACTGCTTCTCTAGCAATACTATCAGAGTAAATAATGGAGTCTTTTTTTAGCAGGTCTGCAGTAAAAGATACCTTTTCTTAGTCATCCTGCTCTCAATCTCCATGCTTTGCCCATTAACATTCTGCCTGTCAATACATGAGTCTTAGTATAGATAACTCAGAATGGTAACTATTTCCAAAGCAGCAACCGTATATACTGAATCCTTGTGACTTAAGAGAAGCTTTCTATAGTTGCTGACATTAATTGCAAGAAATAACTATATTCTACTTTGAGAAATAAACATGTCAAAAAAAGTATATGTGGCAAAACTGAAAAACCTAGTAACATTTGTAAGCAAAATTGAGTGAAAAGAATTATAATACCAACTTAAAACTCAATTTGTTTCAAACTGACTTTTGGGGGTAATGATCATTGTTTTGTATTTCAAAAGTATTGAGTTTAGAAATCAGTTGTATGATAATGCTTTTGAATGGTTGTCTTTTCTCATGTATTTTTAAATAACCAGTAATCTATACTTTAATAAATTTTTCTTTGGTGTAATGTTATTGCAAAAGCTTTCCAAAGTCAGTCATCGAGTTACACTTAAATTTTTCAAGTTTTTTTTAAAGCAACTGAATTTGTAAAATTAAGGTAGCTAAAAAATATTTTGTTTTTCTTCATTTTAAAGTTTATTTCAAAAGGCTTATATTTTTTACACAGACTTCAGAGATAGAAATCTGCCTCTAATACAGGTCTTCTGCTGTTTTCCCTACTTTTGCCCTTCAGTGTTTTAAAGATATTTATTCAGTAGATATTTGAGGGCCCACTCTGTTGTAGGAATTTTTTTTTTTTTTTTTTTCCTGGTA